CAAAACTCAAGAAAACTCAAGCTGAAAGTGAAACAGAGATGATGGTGATAAGCCCTGAAATCACTAGACCCCCTCCCACCAGGCCTTGAGGACCGAACTGTGATGAACATTACGGCCAGAGCAACCACAGCAGACCAAGGCGAGCTGGAGGGGCTCACAGAGCTAAACTTGCAAGGCCACGCAGGAGAAGTGGGCTGTTTCCCAAGCACCCAGAGCCTCAGACATAGAAGTTAATTCCTTCTCAAGACACTGCACAAACGTCACCCTTGTGTTCATGGGCAGGAGCACAGAGGCAGGGTCCTACCCGCGTCCCCAGCTCCGTACCAGCCAGGCTGCTCCACTGGCCAAGCTGCCACATCTGCTCTCTTTTCAAATGGACCTCAATTAAAAGCAAATCACAGTAACAGAGCCTACAGGCAACAGGGATACAGCTGATTTAAGCAGCACGGTACATCCTTCAGTCAGTTACACCTTCTGGAGGAGCAGAAGGGGCCTCGAGCAGCACAAGAGCAAAAAGCCCCAACCACGGCCAGCATCAGGCACTTATTTTACATGGGCTCCTCCACCACCCTGCAGAACAGAAACCCCACTGCAGTTGATGGGGCAGATGACAGAAACTCTCCCTTATTTGGTCTGGGAATTACCTCTGCATATAATTAAAAACACCAACATAAAAGCCAGAATGCTCCAAAACTGCACACAGGAACCAGGCACACAAGTTTTCCTATAAGGCTACAATGCTCTTTAAAGACCATATAAGAAAAGCCTGACGGTAAACCAAATCCCACATCCCTCAGAAGAACAGTTTGTCCATTTCCCTAAAAAGACCAAATTAAATCTAGCCCACTCCTTAGCACTACTACAGAGGGTAGAACTAAATGTAGTTTTTATCTGCTTAGACAGACAGTCTTGCCCTGGGAAACCTTTATCTACATTTCTAGCCAGTCTCTAATCTCTTTATTTATAATGTCTGACCCATCCCAGCAAAAATACCAGAGTCCTCTGGCAAAGTACAAGCTAAAGAGCTAGTTGCTCAATCGGATAAATCAAACACAAATGATGCAGAAAAGCAAGAAGTTACCAAATCTGAAGATAAAAGGTGTTTCAGACTGGTAAAATAACGACCTGTTTGAAGAACACAGAGCTGAAGGCAGAGATTATGCAGGGAGCAAGGGGCAATCTCATTTTTCTAGCAAATCCAGTAATGACAACGGACCAGAAAATGCTGATGGCTTCTGGATTAGCACCACGGTTATTTACAGGCTCCACTTTTGTGCATTCATTTCAGATTGCCACCTGTCCAGCTTTGGGTGGACAACATAATGAGCTAACCACAGCTGAAGCTAAATTCCCCAGCTTCCCTTAAGTGTCATTTCCCTACACTGGGAAGGGAGCAATGCGTTCTCATATTTAGTGACCCTTTCTTGGGGAATACACAAAACAGATGGGTTTGAGAATCAAGGATTCCATTTCCCCCCACCCCCCTCTCCAAATCAGCCCATCTGCCTCTGCAAAAGTCCGACATGAACAGTCATGTTCAGAGGAGATAGGTCCAAACAACTCTAGTTGCTTCTTCAGGTTTGACACCAGATCCCAGCATCTAAAAATGTACCAAGTGGAACTAACGAGTATTTTCTTTTGGGAGAAATAAATCAGTAAATCAAGCCCCTCGTTTCACAAATGCAACCCAATCAGTCATAAATCCATCCAACGTATAATTAAAAGATTTTCCAGATCTAAATACAGAAGTTGTTCAGGCCAAAGAATCAAAACTTGCTAAATTCTACAAAGATCATCTTTCCTGAGTTGAATTTAGCTACATATCCAGAAATTAGCTATTCTCAATAAGGAAAAAAGAGAATAATATGCAAAGAAAAAAAATAAAGCAGCGAGTCACGTTCGTGATCTTTTTGCTCCATGAAGGTCAAAACAGGTGGAGTGAACATAAAGAGATCCCATTACCTCAGGAACCAAAATTCCCTGCAATAAATAATAAATCCCTAAATGGGAGTTGGAGCTCAGAGGTACCACAGGGTGCTGCACAGCAGCTGGTGCGACAGACCAGCTGCTTGGGTAACGGGCTGGAACAGCTTCTACCCGCTAGGGGCTCTCCCAAAAGCCTGAAGGAAGCAGTTTTCCCGACTTACACCACATCAGGGCAATGTGCTTTGCAGGTTTTTTTTAATAAGGGGTTGCATCGTTTCCTCTGCTGCACTAGGAAAGTTGGTCATGAGCAGTTGGTAACTTCCAGGACTACCAGCTCCACCACAGCCTTCCCCTCCTCAGCTCGAGTCTCCAATGAGCACATTCACCCCACAGAGGGTAAGAATCACAGGTTTCTTCCCTGTCCCTACAGGAGATGACCCACCAGCTCCACAGAACAACCTTTGTTACAGTGGGATTCGCACTGCAGTCCTCTCAAGCAGCAGCTGGTCAGGATGGGCTGCTGCCATCAGCATTTTTCCTTTAGTCCGTGGAATTAGTCACATCATCCAGTTCAACAGTGGAGGGGTTTTCCCAGCTCATGAGCCAAAATTCGCCAGTCTAAAGAAGGGACAACACAGCAACCAAGCAGGAGTGTGTAAGACACTACAATGGGTTGGACAGTGTGGTCATGTAAGAGCAAGAAACCAGCATCTCAATCTGATGAATTAAATGCTGTTACCTTATCAACAGGAAATATGAACACATTTCCTTTAATTATTTCCTACTGCAAATCATTCTCTGTAGATCTCAAAGGAAATAACAGATGCACCCAAAGCAAGTTTTAGCTTCTTTGCTGGCAAGTTCCAAGAAAACGCAAAGCTCTTTAATAGCAACACCTCACTGTTTATACAAGAATTCTTGTCCACAAATTTGCAGTGCTTTACAAAGAGGCTAGTATCATTATTTCCATCTGGAAAAGAGGAAAATGAAGCAGAAGATAGCAGGAAAGCAAGGACACAGTCCGACTTGCACTCAGGTCACCTTCTGTGTTCATTGTACTTTGCTTTCCAAAGCCTCCCACCTGCCTAAGCCCAGGCACTAACCTGCAGGAGAGCTCTTGCACACTCACACTCCCACACTAAAGGTACAGAAGGGACAATCTCATGCCAGATATATGCAAACATTTTCAGAATGACTTATATTCTGCCATTATTTTCCCCGCATACACCAAAATATTTACAATCGTGATCCTGTACTGGGATTCTTTTCCTTTTATTCTTTTGAGTAGACTAAAGAGTTGATTCTCTTTGCTTGAACTGTGGGTTCATAAGCTACTTTATGTTGTTTAAAACTGTAAGATATTCTTGCCTAGAAACACATGCTGGTGTCAACACAGATCAGACTTGGGACAAGATCTGCAGGGGAATTTGACACACTCTGTAGTGAAGAAATACTAGAATCCACGAGCTTGGTTTCAAATCCTCCCAGGGAGGAGCATTACAAGACGGCTGCATCTGGTTTTATAATCCCACTGAAGTTTGGGAGAATTCACATCAGTCCTTGCACTGAGTCCCTTCCCTAACAAGCAGGGCCAAGACGAACACAGTTGCATTTGCCAACACATCCCTAGAGAGAACCACTTATCTCTGCTGCAAAAGCCTCATATCTTAAAAAAGGCTGAAGAGGTTGTGGTCAGTTTTAATCGAACAGGAAAACTGAAAACTAATCACCAGTCTTTAAAGTTTACAGTCATTTAAAATACAAGCAGTTTGGCAAGGCAGCCATTCAAGACCATTTCTTCTCAAATAACAAAACAATCCAGATAGACAAGGCTGATTCCAATTACAAGTATAGGCTGAAAAAACAAGTTTGGCTTGAGATGTGCTTTCCATTTATGGAGTATGTAAGAAGGGGCTTGGAGACTTTGGGACTGATGGAATTCTGCAATTGTACAGGAAGAAAAATCAACCTAATCAATTTTAAGGACTTTTTCGTTATCCTTTTAAATCATAATTCTCAAGAAGGCAGCTTTGCTTCCACAGAATTCTGTTAATTTCATCTTTATTAAATCCTATGGGAGGTCTCCTCTGAGCACACTAAAAATATATATTAAGCTCAAAGTCAACTGATGTTCTTTTCTCCTCCATGGGAGATATTTTTCAGTCCAGTAAGTACAATTTGAGAGTGAAATAAAAAAGGAGAAACTAATCAGGGCCATGAATCAGGTTCACGGGGGAACAACACGGCTGTGCAGAACCCAGATTTAAGTAGTTATTGTAATGCCACAAATCCAGCCCACGGATCCCACACTTTCTGGTGACTTTTTTGCCAAATGAAATTACATTTACAGAGCTGACAACTTTTTGCTGCCCTCTGCAGGGTACCACTGACCATTGCCATTCTTGAAAAGTAATAAACAAGCTTAGGAAATAAACCATGCTTTTTAAGAGAACTTTTATTATCTAGTGGTACACATCATTACTTCAAAAACAGTCTGTACTCAATAAATTTACAGTGCATTTATAAATTCAGAGCATCAATTTTAACCAGTTTCATTTCTGTTTTCTAAGCTGCTACATATCCCACCCTGTAAAGTTTGTCATAGTCAATTCTTCCTGCTATTTCAGAGAGGCAAACGCACGTACTGACCAAAACGCAGAGCTGAGACTTGTCCCTAAGCCGCAGCACCCAACAGACCCAAACCCACCCGCGCTGCCTCAGAGAGCAGAGCTAGAGCCTTCCTGCTGTGCAAGGCTAAGAACCACTCATGAAAACCTGCTGGAAACACTCTGAAAAACCTTTTGATGGAAATATTCCTCAGAGAACTTCACACAGGAATACAAGAACAGGTTGTCTTGGCTGCAACCACATCTCTAGACTTTCAGCTTTTACTTGTAGGGTTTGCTAGGTACTAATATTTAATCAGGAACTGTAGTGTACCAGAAAAGATTCTTCCAAACTCTTGTCCATCTCTGGACAAGGAAATATTACTGTGCCATTCACTTCTGCTTTCCACAAAAAAAAAGTATTTCAAATTAGATGATTAGAAAACAAGCAAAAAAAATCTTCCAATGCTCAATGTTAACTTCTTGCCAGAGAATAAACCAACATGGGTATTGTGCTTCACTATCAACCAATATCAAACCATGACATCTTAAAAAGGTTTCTTTCTTGAAAAGTTATTAATGAAACATGAAGCATTACTTAAGTGATCAGCCATTAAATCTAATTACATCCACAACACCCAGCGTTCTTATTGGGTGCAACAGGCCCGCCTAACCTATAACTCATTCATACTGAAAGGCATTCAAAATACAAAATGATTTTTTTTTTTCTGTATGTGTCATGGCTACTTTTGTCAAATAACAGAGTAAGACATGAAGCGAGAAACTGGCATATAAAATTGCAATACAAAAGTTGAAAGGAGGAAGAGTTTTTTAAAGCTATTTGAACCAATTCAGTAGCATCAAATGCAATGGAAAGAAAGTTGCACAATACATAGGCTGATACACCAGCCTATGATAAAATTGGTTAAACTTCACAATCAAGTTGATGTTTAGAAATACTTCCTCCCAAGCAGTTAATTACCAACAATATAAAGCTGTAAGACTCAAAGAACAGTCCAGAACCAAACAACTTATAACCAGCACCTGCACTTTGGTTTCTGGAGGTCAAGCATGACCATCTCATACAAACGTCAGGAAAAGTCTGAGAAAAATCTCAGCAATGGTGCAGCATGTTTGACCTTATACATAACTCTGCCAAGAAGCCAAAACGCTTGACACTAATCACAGAAGAATACAGTCCAACTCAAAGGCCAAACTTAGTTCTGCCCAGGGGCAACCTTATTCTTCAGCATCATCAAACTGGCCAGTCTCAATGATCCTAACAGGTGATGTAAAAGTAATAGAAGCTGCATGGTAACACCCTGGATTGTACATCGAATCCTCTTGCCACGAATACAAGGCCAAAAGATTATTCTCCTGAAAGCTTCCACAGGGGAGATCGCCGGCATCTAAAGAAGATCAAAAAGAGAGATTTAAACCATGAAATATATTTAAAAAACTAGTGGTGTAGCATAGCAGTATATTTTGCAGTTCCACAGTATCCTGCAGTCAAGAACTTCAATCTGATCTACAAGCAGCAGTGAAATTACAGAAAGCAGAGTTTGGCAACAGCTTCATTTTAAAAATGGTTTTGTCACCAGAAACTATTTAAAACAATTTTCCCAAAAGCTCAGTCACATACCTGGACTCAGAACATGCAACACCAGCTCTTACAATTTATACAGTTGTCCTTCATTCACTTCAGTATAAAACGCTCAAAGCCACACACTTATTTTCTGTTTCCAGCTCTCTCTATATCCACAAGACCAATTTGAAGGCCCCAGACCCGTCAAGGACTAGGTCAACCAGACAGCAACGGAAGAATGAGTCCCTGTAAAAGCTAGTTTTGAACAGAGTTTCTATAAACTTTTTATTAAATAGGTAAAAAATAGGGTAAAGTCATTTTAGAGACCAAAAGATTAGTATGCAGCTAACATGGAAGGGATTATGCAAATGAAAAGCCCCGATTATGAAACAGAGGGCAGTGTAGCACCTTGTCATTGTTCCAACAGCACTGCAGAACAAACCAAGCAATCACAACAAGCATTCTCAAAGGTAATTACAAATTAGGAGAAAAACAAACAAAAAAACAAAAAAAAACAAAAAACCCCACACAGGACTGATCAAGGATTTCTCTGCAGCAGCAACTAACAACTTAGATGCTCATAACCAGGATCCTTCATAAGCACCTGAACCCAATAATCACACCTCCCTCCCACACTACATGTAGCTGGAGAAAAGTAGTAAGTAATGATGAGCTAATTAAATAGAGGAAGAGATGAGAGTCTGTGATATTTTCAATGCAAACCAGCAATTTCAAAACATTGTATAAATTTGAGCAGACAAGAAGGATAAAAAAGATAATCAAAAAAAGCACTTCTCAGATAACCCAGCATGAAAAATTAGCACTGTTATTTTCACTTTAAAATTAAAATGTTTTTATAGTAAGACCACAAAAACTTTCCCAGATCCTTCTACTGCCAGCCTGTGAAACTTGAATACTACAGCCATCTGCAGCATGGTAATAAAGAATGTGTATCTCCTACGCAAGGAGAACTGTTTGTATTAATTGCAAGAGATATATTCTAGTCAGATAAAAATCTGAAGTGATACTACTCTGCATCCACAAAAACTCAGCAGGTTATCACTCACTGTTGGCTAAGCATACAACATGCAGCCTGGCAAATGGAAGGTTTAGAGTCTCAGTTCAAAGCAAGAGGGATTATTAAACATCTTGTGACTAGAATGATTAATACTACTGTAACAAAAATGGGTTGTGAAACTGCCATTACCACCTTTGTCCAAGGCACTGATGAGAACATAGTCAATCACACATACAACTATTTACAGAACCAAACTTAAAACCAAACAAGTCCAACAGCAGCAACAAACAGTATTTGGGACAGAGCCCAAGCTCTTGTACCACACGACTCCAAGCAGCTCCATGCTCTAGAGGGATATTAGGGTTGTATAATCTGAGTGATTTTTTTCCCCCCCCGAAAGGAAAACCTTTTACACAAAAGATGTTATATTTCTGCAGTCCTCAAAATGGTCTCTTTTGCTTCACAATAAAGATTCACTATAGAGTCTTTGATTCTCCATAAAACTCCATACACACAATCTTTCATCTATCATCCCACTCCTTAAGAATTAAATTACTCAAATAAAAAAGTTACACTTTAACTAGACAACACCGCTTTAAAACTTGTACTTTACAAGAAAATAAAATCACACAACACAAATTGATGAGGCAAACTCAAAACAAACAAAAACATTTCCCTAAAGAAAACAGGATGCTATTTAAATGCATTCACCTGCAAAGCGCCTGCCTCCAACCATGTGCTAGCCAAAATTCAAACGAAGCCTAAGTAAATTTGCACTTACCATACGGATTAAGTTCAGAATCCTCCAATTCTTTGTCCCAGTCCTCCACCTCGTAGTCAGCAGCAGTTTGGAGCTCAGGAAAAGCTGCAGCTTGAGACACACTGGATGCTTCGCCCTCCGACTCCTCCAGATCCGACCAGGAGTTAATAGATTCAACTGCAAATTCACTAACATCTTCTTCGCTGTGGGAGATATCTGAGAATTCATCATCTTGAGCCCCACTCTCAGCAACATTTGCAATATTCTTCGGGAAACATTCTACAAGTAACAACAGTAGCCAAAAGAGAGTGTTAGGAAGCAAACAGGAACAACAAAATGCTCCCCATGCAATGACTTTGCCAGGTCTAACAATGGGCACCAACCTGAAGCTACAAAACTAATTTTAATACATGCAACTTCATTCAAAGTCTTTCCTATAGCTCCCTATTGCCACAGTGGTACTTTAGACACTTGGGAACATGAGACATGACCCTGCACCAGCCCAGACCTGGGTCTCCCACAGATTCCTGATGGTTCTTAGCTCCTTAAACTGTGTGTGGGACCCAGAAGTTCCACTTGCTACAGCCAAACCATGTTGTTTGGTGGGGTTTTTTTTGTTGTTGTTGTTCTTTTAAATGAATTATTAAATGAATTATTTTGGAAAACCACAGCTGAAGACTACCCAAAGAAAGAGGGTTTAGTTCAGTATGGATGCCGTATTATTGCACAAAAAAAAAAAAAAAAAAAAAAAAAAACAGGAATAACATAGCACCATGACTCAAGGTATCTCTCCTGCATAGCCAAAGAGTTTTAAGCAGCTTTCCTTGAACACAAACACCACTTTGTGCTATTCAGCAGCTATTTCAGGCTTACCTCGCCCGGGCGCCCATGTCGCAGCACCCCCGTCGCTGGGGCCCTGCTCCTCCTCGAGGGGCACGCACCCCACGACAGCAGCCATCCCTACAGGACAAGGTGGGAAGAAGCCAGTGGCACCTCCTGCCCAACCCTGTGCACACTCAGCCCCGGCCTGCAGTGCTGGGGAGGGACGACAGGTTGTTCCCTGCATGAGTCAGGGCTTTTAGACCAGGCGGATTTTTTATTTGGGAAAGCGAATCTGCCACGGCATGGCTTGTGCTGCTGCCATTAGTCATGCAGCAGCAAAATAAATAAATAGAAAAATATATATCTTAGAGGTCACAGCAGTCATCTGGCTGCTGCCTTGGATGGCAAATAGAAGCAGTAAAGCTGAGCAGAGTTGGGCCAGTGGGTTGCAAAGGTGAGCACAAAGATGGGGAATGAAAGGGGAAACAGGGGGATGAATAGGGGAACCAAAGGGATCCACGAGGGCCATGGAACCAGGTCCCGAGTCCTCGGGCAGGTCGAGGCGAGAGGGAGGTGCGAGTGGCAGCGTGGCCGGGGTGAGGGTGCCCTGGGGGGAGGAAGGCAAACGCCATTACCCGCCACGTCCACTGGCCACAAGGGCAGCTGCTGCGCGGGGCCCTCAGAGCACCAGCAGCCGCCTTCCGCACCGCGCCCAAGAGCCACAGCCGGCCCGGTCCGACCCGCCTCCGGTACCGCTGCCGGTGCTGGTGCCGCCGCCTCCGGCCCCGCCCCGCGGACGCGCAACCGCCGCCTTGCGCGGGAAGCGGCGCCCCCCGCCACGAGCCGCCCCTTAACGGCTCCCGCCGGAGCCAGCGCTGCCGCGGGCGGGAAGGGCAGAGACGCATCGAGTTTAACACAGAATTACTAACTTTACCGGAGGAAAATACTAGATTTGCCACCGAAATATTAATTTTGCTACAGAAGAGTGAAAAGTATTAACTTTACCAGAATTATTCATTTTACCAGGGGAAAATATTAAATTTGCCACCAAATTATTAGTTTTGCTACAGAAAAGTGTTAAAGTTACCAAAGAATTATTGAATTTACCACAGAAAAGTATTAAATTTACCACAGAATTATAGAACTTTGTCACTACCTCCCTACATAGGGTGGAAGAGACAAATGATGCAATGGGGAAGGGCTGCTTGAAGAAAACCACCATGCTCACTGAAAGCAGTTTTTTTCTTCCTGCTTAGGTTAATTACTGATGTTTTCAGGGAACCCAGGATTCTGGATCATATAATGTTTTACTAACTGTTGAAGATTCATTTGAACTGGGTTAAAATGAAGTATCTGCTGAATCCGAAATTGTGTTTGCTTCTCCAAAAGGGAAAAAAGGTCAAGTGCTGCTCTGAGCCACACTCCCCGACAGCCAAGGTTGAACTTGCGCTCACACCCGCTGTCAAAGCAAATGTTGGTTATGCCCTTCAGGGCAACTAAACCCAGTCTTTCATGTCCTGTACTCATATCACAGAGCCAGAAGAGATGCTGCTGTGCACCCACCACGTGCAAATCAAAACTTGGTCCTGAAACAGCTAAAATCACAAGGCTGGTACATGCCAGGCTTCATAGGTGTCTGGCAGGCAGGAGTTGTGAAAGAGCTATTTGGAAAAGAGCTGTCTTTTTCACAAAAACATCAGTCCGTTCTGAGCCATCCCCACGATCAACACAGTCATCAATAGAGGGAAGCTCTGGCCAATGCTGCCAGCTCTAAACTTGGCATTGGAGTGGCTTGTTAATTCATTGATAGGTTTGATGTTCAGGCTATTTAATTTACTAAGTGCTTCTGAGCCTTTCATAGGCTAATGTATAATCCCATGCAGTTTGGCACCCTCAGTCCTGAGCAATAGTGGAAAATCATTCCAATGACCATCATGATCAATAGCCTAAAGGTGGCCCCATCAGAAGAGCAATAGCATAAGGGTGTCCAGCATGGCTGAATGTGCCAGGAAACCCGCTAAACACAACCCAAGGGCACTTCAACGGGCATGGCAGCTTATAAAAAAATACTTAATTGCTATCAGAAACAGCCATCTTCTACAGTTGGACTGTATTTTCTATTTGTTCTATTCTATTGTGCAACTTCTCTTAGGCACGCAGGGCTATTGATGTTATGAATGTAAGGAAATAAGGACTGTCTGATTTAAGAACAGAAGCAAGCAAATAACAGTAGGAGAAAGAAGCTGCAGATTACACAAGCAGTAGCAACAAGTAAACAGGTTCTACGTTCATCAAATCATAAATAAACCATTAGTATCTCCACAGGCTACCTGAATTTTTATCTTGCCAAAAGATAGCAATCTCCCAGAGATTTTGCAATTGAAGCATGCTTAGGGGGAAAAAAAGCCTTAAAAGAGAGGGGAAGCACCTCTACAGAACAGGTCTGGTGGCTGCTACCTGAATAGAAGGTATCAGGCAAATGAACATGTTTTTAGGAGACACATGTAGCTCAAAAGGGCTGCAGGTAGCAGCAAGGTACTAAGTGTAAAGTTCTGTACAGTACCAGAGCCGATGCATTTTGAGGGTCAAAGCTACCACTACCAGTAGCAGATCACAAGTTTCAGTCCTCACTGGAGGCTTGTTATGCTAGCCTTGCTTTCTGAAATGGTGATGTGTTTTAGGGGATTTTCTTTCAAAGCTTTGCAATAAAATCGAAACTTTTTGTTGTTGTTTAATTGAAGCAGCAAAACAAGAGTCAGGGAAGGGAATAAAATTATAAAGCACAGACTAAAAATGCTTAAGAGGAGCAAATACCGGGCGGAAATGCATAATGTCAGACATGAGACAGCTGAAAACCACTGGGGAGAGGGAAGATGGCCTAAATAAAAGCTTGGGAAAGACACAGCACATACTTCAGCTGCCACAGAAAATAGCGATCTGAGCAGGCTGTTGCTCCAAACCTTGTTTATAGTTCACCAAAAGTTACTGAAAAGTTACTGAAATTCATTGTTTGAGGAGTTGCAGGTTCTACTTGTGTGAGAAATCTAAATAGAACATTTTTCTGTACTAACATATCTTTCAGGAGCAAATCATTTTAAATCTTGAGATTAATGGCTGAAAAACATGTACCTACTATTCAAAAGGAAAGGCTGCCTTTCTGAATTAAGGTCCTTATGTCAAACAGTGGCAATCAGACTATCTCCTTGAAAAGAAAGTCATAGCATTCAGACACTGAGAAATTACATAAAGGAAGCATTGTTGTAAGTTTCTATATTTCCCCTAGGCATCTTCTATTGACTATTGTTAGAAAAAAATAGAGTGATCTAATGGTCTGACGATAGCAGTTATGTTATTTTAACCAGTTTGACATAGGGAAATGTAATAAGTGGTTGCAAACACAAAGACTGTCTCTGAAAAACCATTACCATTTTTCAAAGTTTGAGGTGAGTTTAGATGACATTAGGAACATTTGTGATAGAGCTGAGCTCTACATTTCACGATAGATATCAGAAATAGTCTTTAAGATACAACCACAAATTACAGTAGTTTTGGCTACTAAAGGGACTTCAAGGGTAAGAAACAAGAAATAAATAATCTTATCATTTTACAGATTCTTTTTCCATTGCTCCATTTTCCATTACTGAACTTTGAGGACAGATAAAGAGGTTTGGCTTCTGTGGGTCTGGGAAGTGTAGAGCTGATGCACTGTGACGATGAAGAGTTAACACTCATAATTCTCAGAGCTGCCTTTGCTTTCTCTTTTGACTGTGCAGTTGAACCAGCTCTTGACAGAGGCATCACCACTAACAACTGCAATAGGGCAGATTACATTTTTACATGTGTGGGGGAAAAAAAGCATATTTTATTATGATCCAGGAACATATTTACTCTTATGCAAAGATATTAGAAAAAGACATCACTATCATGTTGTAATTAATTGATTACAGTTTTTCATAAGTGTCCAGTTTGCAATAAGGTATATTTGGAAACAAAGTTTTCCACCAGGTCTCCCTGTAACATCTTCATAGCTCGCCAGTGAATGCTGCCACAGTTTTCTGGTTTGCCTTGGGGATGGTTTAGCTCCTCTTTAATATAATCCAGCCAGAGATCTTTAAAAGAAAACAGAAGTTTCAGCTAGATTTTGAATGGGTATTGCATAATAATCATACAATATTAACTTAGAAATTCTCCTCAAAAAATGTTTACTTGAGGATCCCCTCCCTTGAGGTCCAAAAGCTGTTCCCAAATCAGTGCGACTGTGATGTTAAGAAATAACATCTCTCATCGGTTGTAGCTTCCTATATCAGAAATCTTAATTATGAAAACCCAGTTCCATATTGTTCACAAATCCAGATTAAAGGTTATGTGCATCTCTTATGCCAGACCATGTCAAAACCTTATTTGCTAGCTGTTCTGCTTAAAACCATCCTATTGTGACCAAAGATTCTGGCCTGAAAGTTCAGGGTCACTGCAGAACGTCATGCACTTAATAGAATAGAAGAAATAAACTGCACTCTACGTGACAGCAATCACAGGGCTAGGGGAAAAAAAAAAAACACTATTTTTCAAATGCATGGAAATAAAAGGAACAGCATGGAAATAAGAAGAAGAAAAAATACCCACCACCACCACTAACAACAACAACAAAAAAAATCCCACACACAAAACAAACAACACCCTTACCAGAATTTGTGGAACCAAACTCTCTCAAGGCACGTTCATAGTACTCTCTCAAATTAAGCATTTTGCAGAATTCCTAGCAAAGGAATTAAAGGTATTAAAGGGCCATTTACATTGTACAGAAGTGGATATTGTGATTTAACTAGACTCTTACACAAAGAAAAACCTGTCATGCTAATTACACACACACACACACTTTACCAAGAAGTTCAAAGACTAGTTACCATGGAACTTGGTTTTGTAATACAACTTTAGAATACAAATATGAACTGATTACAAACCAGTTACACTATTCATAAGACCATCATTTTCTATTCAAATCCAGAGTTAGAAAGTGTAGTTTACTACAAGAAGGCTCTAATCAGATATTTAACAACTTACTTGTTCCTTTTCTATTTGGATCATCTTCCTGAAGAAGTCAAGTGAAAATGGACGATTTTCATGCAGGCTAGAGTGAAAACAAATAACTTCAGACTTTAAACCTTACAAACATATGCCCTAGAAAAATCTTTTTTTTTTTTTTTTTATTTCTCACCTGGTAAAGACTCTTTTTACTTTCTTATAACCACCACTCCTGTAGGCCCAGTCAAGATACTTTTCTTTCATAGTCACAGACTCAGGAGGAGCTGTGGCAGACAATGATCTCTGAATAAAAAAAAAAGTAAGTTACAATTAAAAGCAACATGGGAGAAATGAAGCACTACCTTCTCTCGATTTAGAGATTCGACATTAAGTGAGTCTCATAAGTGAGGCAAGATATCAGACAAAAACATCCTGGAAGATGTCTGAAAAGCAGCATTAGTAACATATCCAGTATTTTGCAGATCGTAGTATAACCTTACATACATTTCCCTTCCAATATTTCAGACAGCTGGAGTTTGGCATTCCCAGACACCCTTCATATAGGGGACTTCACAATGCTCTACAAACATTTGAATTTAAGCTTCTATTAGAAATAACTGTTACATGCTACAAATTGGAAAAAAATGGGTCAGAAAAAAATAGTGGTGTTTTGTCCTGCATTTTCATAGCGTTTGGAAAATGCTTTTTATGTATTTTAGTACCTTTAGGACCTTTTTTAAGGGAAATGCACTCTGCACATACTGTTCCTTTTTACTTCCATGCTGTGAGAAAAAAGTAATTTTATATTGGTCACCCACCTGGTACAGGGCTTCCGTGTCTTCCTTGCTATTTGAGCCTTCACTCCATTCCACCCAGAGGGTCCATAATAGCAAGGTGCCCTACAAGGGAAGCAGGCAGGGAGATCATATCATCAAAATGCAGGTGACAGTCAGACAGATCTACGGAAACAAATACCAATGCATTTACCAGGTTCCACTTTACAGCTGCTGTTAAAGGGCCCCTTAGATGGGGCTATTACAGAGCTGTCTTTGCACTACACACTGAAATCAATTTTAGTCTCCCTCCTCATTCACAGAAGTGTTACTTAGCTGCACAATTGCTGAGTGCTGCCCTGCATGTTCTTTTGCATCACTGAACACCATAGCCCAAAAGTAGCTCCTGAGAACAAAGGGGAGGAAAGAAACAATCACCTGATGGTTTCCCCTCTGCACTCCCTTATACCCAGGGTTCCAAATAGAACAGCCAGAGAGCACATAACTAATCCAAGGCTTGAAATACCACACATGGAAACAATATATCAACACAGTGCAGGAAAGGAAATATGTTTTTCTAGTCAGAATTGAAAAATGCCAGCTGACGGCTACAGGAGTATGCAAAATATCATCTGTCATTCAGGCTTTCAAACTCTGAATCTGAAGTTCATTTGCAGTTCCCTGATGTTCCTGAACACAATGTGCATGTGAAATGTCAAGTTATTATTTCTGACCTTAAAAATTATGTGGGACTGAGTGCTTTGCAAAAAGAAAAACCCTTCAAATAAATATCAGGGGTTTCTTGTCCAGGACAACAGCATGCAATCTATAAAACAGCACAGACCTTAGATTTCATGTGTTTAAGGGCTTCCTCAAAACAGTGGGTCACATCATCGCTCTTCGTTTGGATCAGCACCTGCAGCCTCAGCTGCCAGATTTCCACGGACAGTCTGAAACGCTGAGTTGCAGCTTCTGCCACCTCCACAGCCTTTTCACAGAGGCCGGACTCCAGCAGCAGCTCAAGCTAAAAACCAGCAGATAAAAGTAGTCACAAGAGTTCTGTAGCGTTTTGGCGCAAAATAAAGGCTCAAGTACTATACTGTCCAGCTTACTATCTACTCAGAATGGTAAAGTTAGACATGCAAGCAATGCAAGGCAGTCTCCCAGGCTATTTTTCTGTGTAAACTCTTACCCACTGCTTATATTGGCCTTCTGGCAGCAAACTGGACTCGTGGGCTTTGTTGAACGCACTCAATGTCCTCTCCAGCCTCTAGAGCCAAAAGTGAACAAAAAGGAAAGAAAACAAATATTATCGCTGCCAACACCAGATCCCCAGCATTGAAAATATCTAGTGAATTTTTCTGTCCAAGCTCCTTGAAATTAAACAAAAGCTGCAAATCTAATGCTTCAGGTACCTGCATACATTTGAAGACAAAAGCGAATTTCAATATTTGAGTTACATTTCTCCGTTAAATGGCAAAACAAACAAGCAACACACAAAAAAAAAAAAAAAAAAAAAAAAAANAAAAAAAAAAAAAAAAAAAAAAAAAAACCACCCCACACAACCATGTTCTCTGATTGTATTAAAGGGGACAAAATTGCAAAGGATTCATGATTAATTATTCCTTTCAGTCACATCCAAGAACAGAGGTGTAAGAAAGGTGCCCACATGCCAGTATCAAACTTTGCTCTTATTTACAAGAGATGTTTTAACTCTTCCCTCCTTTTGAACAAGTCCAAGTCTGCAGCACTATCAGTGAACATGAACAAGTTTGGCCGCTTAAGGATATCCGTCCGAGGTGGAGGACAATCACGGGTCAACATTTCAGACGAAGCACTTCAAAATATACTTGATTACAGAAGTCAGTAAAAATAGGAGTACTTTGTTACTATGAGTATTTATTTACCTTTTGCTTTAATTCTTCACTGTTGGTTTTCCTGTTGTATCTCTCCAGGCAAAAAGTGATAAAGCACTTCCACATGTCCTCTGCAGGACCAAACACATAATATCAAACATTACAGAATCACAACAATAAGCCTGTCAACATCTGCTTCAAAATGTTAACAGTATGCTGTATGCAAAAACACCAGGAGAAAAAGAGATGTTAAAATGCAAGTAGAACATCTCACCTGTGGGGACTGCTGCCACGGCCTCCTCAAACACTGCACAGCACCGTTCCTCTCTCTGGGTCATTTCTGCTACTTTCATCTGTTTTGTAGTATGTTCTGTGGACTGTGAGGATCCCAACTCCAGCTCACGGCGAGCCATGTAGTCCCATGTAAGAGGGTCATCAGCGTAGCTGGTCTGCAAACTAATACACCACATCTGCAACACCACTCAACTGCCATTGAGCTTTTGCACTTAAATTCTAAATAATCAAATGCTACAGAAGAAACACTTTTCCAGGGAAAAAAACCACAAAATTTTGGACTGATATAAATTAATTTTCAATTTGCCTGGAGGAACCAGCCTTAGTGATTAATCTGTCAATTACTATAAACCAGGGCAGTGGAACGTTTTTATTAAAAAACGCCTCACCTTTCAAGAATTTCTTTTTGCAAATCTTGTGTAAAATCAAAGAGCTTTGCAATAGACAGCAGAGCCAGAAGAAATTCAACACCTAGATGTCAAGAGAAACAAAAAGTTATCAACTAGAATTAAAATATTACACCCCAATGCACTCTTTGTTCACATTGGATTAGGACTATCCATATTAGATACTGGAGACCTGATTTAAAGGCAATTGTTTTCCTACTAAACAAGGGCAAGAAATGTTACACTACCTTTGATTTTCTGAGCAGCATCCCTGTAAATGATGCGAGCCATTTCCCCATTAAGAATCTCTTCGGAATAATTGAATTCTCTCTGTGATACAAAGCACAGTATTTTTAGAATTATCTTCTTTTCTCATTTTTGCAAGCAAGGAAAAAATACCAGAAGAAAAAGACATTAAGGATAGATTCTGATGAAGAAAAACATTATCTAGTTGGCACAAGTCGAGGAGAATGAAAAAACAGTTTAACTAATCCCCCATCTAAGTAGCTCTCATATAAACCATCAATACAAATCTCTTGAAGCTATGCATTCAGACAGGTGATATGCAAGCAGAGAGTAGCTCTGGGGAAGTTTAAGTGACCTACCAAATCCATCTTTGCTTGTTCCAATTCTTTCTTTTCTTTCCTCTGTTTTTCAGCATGCATCAGCTCCATTCTGAAATACTGCAAAAGACAGAACAACATGAAAACATAGGGGAATAAAGCATAAAACACCGAAGTCCACCAGCATGTGCTAAAAAACTAGTATCCCATGTATGTCTGAAAGTCTTGTTTTTTAATGAAGTATGCATACACCTGTCTCCTCTACGTCCGTATTTCATCCATTCTTTAAACCTTAATTTGCTCTTAAGAAAAATCATGTTCCCAAGCAAAGGCTAAAGACACTTAGTCCAATCCAGAAAAACTGCAGAGTCCATAGTAGTTGGGAAATTTATGACACATTAATTGATAGACAACATGAAAGAAACCTTCAATTTTTAAACATACAGGATTCACTAAACAGTTTTTAAGAGCTACCAATACAAAGCACAAAAAAATCAAGGAAAAAAAAATCTCATTTTGTTTGATGAAAAAAACAGCTTTTGCCAGATTGATCTGAGACTTGTTGGAGTGATCATCTGACTGAAAATAACTGGACATGGAAGAAAGCCAGAAACTCACTTCTTGGTAAAGTTTCGAACAGTCTGGATGGAAGCGCAAAGCACGAAGAAACAAGTGCCTGGCACTTTCCGACGAGAGACGTGCCTCCATTTCCCACTTTGCTGCCATAATCCACAGGGCTGCAACAGAAAACATAATGAGCTCATTTTAATGTAAAGCAATGACGGGTCATGAGAACCTGTTCTGGAACTGGTACCGCCTGGGATGCACACAAGTTGATCTTGTTTAGTGCACCCAACACATCCATCAGCTCAGTGATGGCACTGACAACCACCTACGAGGAAGGTCACAGCTGAAGAAGCGGTGAGTATTCAAGACCTTCCACCTCTGAAATAATTAGCCAGTCCACAGCCTACTTGGAAAAAATATCACTCAAACTGTGGGGATTCCCATTTCATTGCCCCTTGTGCTTGTTCAGCACAATCCTGTCAGACCCCTTCTTTCTGAAGGAGCAGCAAATTAAACCATAATAGGAAACCAGATATCTCCACCCACACAACTTGAATCAAAAAATAACATTATTTAAGCATTATTCAAACATTATTCAAGACTCAGTCTTTCCTTCAGGACTCACCATGGTTTTACTTACCTGGCTTATTGGGGTGAAGAGCTAACATGCAAGAAAACACCTTACTAAGCTGATGTTTTGAATTCTGTAAAAGAAAAAAAAAGTTTGGTTTTATTTATTCCAGTACTGAACTGAACCACCAAAGTTTCATTATGGAAGGTTACAAGCTCCAATACAGTTGCAATGGGGGGAGCGGAAAAAAAAGACTTCTCCTTTATGTTCAGTAGAAAGCTTCTCATATTTGTTTCATATTGAAGAGCAATCAGATATTTCTATTTCAGATGTTTCAGATTGATTGGGATAGTTACCTTAAATCTCTTCTGGAAGGCTTAACAGAAATCTTTAATGAGTCATAAACTCATAACCTCACTGACCACTCCGAGGTAAAGACTCTTATGTCTTACATTTCGGCAGCACATTCGTCTGAAGGACAGTAACAATACAAAGGCTGGCACAAAAAAATGTACCAAGTACAAAATTGCCAGCATTATATCTCTTCAAATATCTGTAATATTTGGAACAAAATTACAAGTCACAGACAGGTTCCAGAGAAGTGATAACCAACAGCATGAACCTTGCAAATCATATGATACTCCAGATTCCATCCAATCAACCTCATCTTTGTGACCTGCCAGTATCAAATTTACACTTACTTGTTCCAAGTTGAATTTCTGCACTTCTTTATATGACTGGAAGTCTCAGACAACTCTGATAATAACAATATCAAAACTCTTCCAATATTGAATTCCAATATACTTCAACGTGTACTTTTGTCTTGCAACACTAGCTTCAGGCACTGAACTTATCCCCATTTGAGGATCATGTCAAAGGAGGGTTCATATTCTGAAGACTCACCCATTGCTTGCAAAATGCAACATGCGACAACCACAGCTGGACATCTTCCTGTGAGAAATGCAAAGGGGAACAGAATTAACCCTTATAATAAGGCAAGCACAGAATCAGTTTTGCACACTGACAAACAAAAGATAGACTTGTTATGACCACCAAAAAAAAAAAAAAAAAAAAAAAAAAAAAAAAAAGTAATTTTGAATCTCGTATTCTCTTTCTTTCAGATCTTTCAATTCCTGCAAAACATCTAAAGAAATCTAGCCCTCCATCTCAAGATGCATTCCCACAGTTCCTGCAAGCAAATTTCTGTTATACAGAATTCAATACAGAACAAACTGGGATGATTCCTTAGGAACCCGTTCAGGTACCGCTGTTGGATGTCTCAAGACAACCTTTTCTCAAGGCAGCTTAAAGTTCTTTCTACTCTAAATTTCTAGTTTTAGGAAGCTTGCACACCAAAGTCAAATATAAGGCTCAAGACAAATAAGAAGAACCAGAAAAAAAAAAATCAAAATATTGTCTCTGTACAAAAAAAAAAAAAATTATCTGATATGAATGATCTACTTTTAGGCTACTAACTATATGTTCTTACTTCTACATAGCTTTTCAATCACGTTGTCCTATATCACTGCAAATATTTTTGGCAATGATATCTTTTTAAATCACAACAGCTCGAAATAAAAGAAACAGACTCACTTTCCACTTCCCTGTGGCACGTTTGAAGAGGCTGTGGACTCTACGCACAATGGAGTTCTCAATTTCCTCCTTCTTAAATGAATAGCCAATACGCTAGGAGGAAAAAAATATATAAATATTAATTACATTGCACTAGAAAGTTGGATGTGTGGAATTTTGCAATCTAGGTAGTTTGGATAACTTACTGCTCTTCTCTTCTTTATTAGTTCCAGTAGATTAACTTCATACTAGAGGGGAAAAAGAAATAAACCTGAATGAAGAAGCAAAGAGCAGCACTGTGTGATGGGGACGGGTGTCCTGGCATCCCTGGGGAGGGACGAGGCGGGAGGGAAGCTCCAGACAGAAGGTCCCGCGTGATTTTGCGCGGCCAACCGCACAGGTCACCTCGAGGGGAGCGCGTACCTGGATGTACGTGATGAAATCCTCCTTGCGCAGCGCTCGGCGCTGGATTTTGTACTCGAGCGCCGAGGCCTTCCTCAGCACGGCCCTGTGGGGAACACGAGCGCAGAGCTCAGCGGAGCCGGGCCCGGCGCATCCCGGCCCCGAACCCAAACCTGGCCCCGAACCCGGCCCCGGCCGCACCTGATCTCCTTGCGCGTGAAGAGCCCCACGCGCTCCAGCTGCTCCAGCTCGGGCACACGGTCCTCCAGGCGCTGCTCGATGCGCTCCGCCATGGCGGCGGCGGCGGCCCCACGCGCGCGGCACTTCCGGGCCGCGCCGCCCGCGGGGCTGTCCGCACTGCGGCGCCCCCTGGCGGCCGCGCCGCCACCCTCAGCGCCCAGCGGCCGAGGCGGCCGCGCTGCTGGGGAGGAGGCCGCGCCGCTGAGGTGGCGGCTACACCGCTGAGGTGGCGGCTACACCGCTCCCGTGGCGGCTACACCGCTCCCGTGGCGGCTACACCGCTCAGGTGGTGGCCTCGCTGCCCCGGCGGCAGTGGCCACGCCGCTGAGGTGAAGGCCCCGCCACCATTTGGCTGCTGCGGCAGGAGGTGCCTGCCCGACACTCGCTCCTGCCTGCGACAAGCAGGCAGGTAGGGCCGAGGCGGCAGGGGGATTTCTGGCTGAGCGTTTTCTATATTCATTAGCCCTCAAAAAAGCTGTGAGTTATGTTGGCCTTTCATCACGGCGGAGTGGGCTAAAAGAGCGTTTCTGAGCACTGAGAGGATGGCTTTTCATACAGCAAAAAGCTTAGCGAGAAGAGCCTACAGCTTACACATGATAAAAAGTTGAGCAAGATTAAAAAGTGAGTTTTTTATAATTTGATTTATAATATATATTAGGCACAAATCAAAAGCAAGAACGTTCTTAGTGGAAGTGTTGCGGCATTTTTTCTCTCTGTCAGAAAATTATAACACTGTTTTCCAAGAAGTGATGAAACAGGCAAGCCACCAGGAAGCAGAGAGGCATCAAACACCAAACCGAGAGCTGGAAACTACCAAGTTCAGACCGTGTTGGCAGAGGCAGGTGCGAAGAGCACTCGTGTCTCGAGCAAAGCGCCTGCTTCCCTCATAACGACAACAGCAGCTCCCAGCGGAGGTTCCCGTGCCTCGTACTGAACAGCCACAAGCTACGGTTTCTCATATTACACCACTATCCATTCACTTCAATAAATCACTGCAGAATTTGCAAAATCCAGCAGCTGCCTCGGAGCGGCTGAGCTGTGGCTGCAGGTGGAGGGGAGGAGAGCGGGTGCTGGGGGGTCCGGCACAGACACCCCCTTGGGAGGCAGAGACCCGGCCCGCAGGAGGTACCTGCGGCTCCTGTCGAGGTCAGATTTCGGCAAAGCAGCACAACAGGCCAACCCTTCATGAAGTGGTGGCATAAGAATGTTATTGTTCGTGTTCATCGGTAACATTAATTGTTTTGAAGGTTACAATATTTACCCGCTCTAGCTGACCCCGATGGAAGTCCACAGAGTTCAGTGCAACAGTGTTCATCTCGGGAGGGCTGCACTTGGCATGGGAAGTGAAGTGATGTTACTGCACTGATCACTAAGCCGCAGCGTGGTTGGAATTACTATGCTTCATTATTTACTCTATTTCTGAATCTGACTGCATCATTTGATATTATAAAAGCAATCTGTAATTACAGCTTATCTGTCATGGTGCACTTAGATCACAATATGTAAATGAGAGCACTACATGGAGTTCAAAGCTTAAGAGGTGTCAGTTTTTGCTCGGAAACCTCTGGGAAATTCTATTTCTATCTTCTTGCTCTCCTCTGTCTCTAAACATCAAGCATCCTTTTGGTAGAAAAACAGCAAAAACTGCAAAGCAGAGACACAAATCTGAACAGTACAGTCACACAGACTCACAGAATGGTTGGGGTTGGAAGGGACTTCTTGAGATTTAGTCCAACCCCCTTGCTCCAGCAGGGACACGTAGAGCACATCATCTTCTGAAACCTTATGAGTGACCATTCTGTCATCCTGAAAATGTTTTCTGTGATCAACATATGCCGGTGTACCAACAAGCAGTGAGGAACATGACCACATGTCACCCAACACGGAAGGTGCACACAGGTGCCTACCCCCATGGCAGCAGCCACCACCACCTTCCTAAGAGAATTAAGTCAGATGCACGTATTTACCAACAGGTCTTTTGACGTATGTGAGAGCTCTTCACATGCTATCCATATACCGATAACAATATGTGTCCGCCAATGCTTCTTAAGGCATTAAATCCCTTGTTAGCACTTGTCAAAGCTCCACAATATCATCTGATAGAAGTATATAGGCACAGCACAAACCACTCTGCAGGACCCATCACTGTGGGACTTCAAAGGAAGAAAGACTGGTGTGCACCAAAACAATAGAATCCCCAAGGTTTTAGTTTCATAGTCTAATGTTTTCCTCCCAAAAACACACACACAGCGAGTAATAATGAGATTTACAATGTTGAACTTATTGAAGACCTCACAGGATTATTTACAAACAAACCCCATCACAAACAGTTTGAAAACATTTTCTGCTCTCTCAGATATCCCTTGTTTCCTGTAAATGGAACAAGTACAAAAATAAGAAAGCCTCCCCCTTTCTTCCCCAGGCAAAACAATCCTTAGAACAATTAACATTACGGACTGTCAAAAGTGTTCAGACCAAAGTGACAAATGCAGTGAGTGGCAGGCAAGCCCAGCCCGACCCACCAGAACACTGCATGCTGGATTTGTCATGCAAATCAAAATGGAACCTGACATACTCTTTGTTCATTTTCCTTTCAAAAAATCTACTTTAAATGCCTCCCATATGCCTTGTTTTGGGAGCTGACATTCCGAATGCATCAGTGCAAATTAAGGGAGGGATCTATTACCAATAAAGACGCTGGGATACAGAGAATTACAAAAATCTTATTGGGAAGACCAGGGCAAAAACCGGTGCAGGTTGCAGTTGTACTACTCACCACATCGGCTGTTGCTCCTTCTCTTATGAAGCCTCTTTAAATAAACTCCATGAGGAGATTCTTGAAGGAGAAGTTCTGGCAAGCGGTCACAGCCTAATATCATAGGCTGCAGTCTGCAATAAAAGGATATATTGTGGATAAGGAATAATAACAATGGTTTTGTTTTATTTTGATTTAGATTTAAGATTATTTACATTGAAATGGATGAGGTTAATGTGCATAAAAATAGTTAAATGATTAAAATTGATTTAGACACATCTATTTTATTGATTTAAACTGGTTCACAAGATAAGTGTATAAACAATTACAATTTTTCAGAAAATATCAGCAGATGTACAATAAATTATTATTAACTAAAATTTTATGAAGAACCTTTCAACAATGAGAGTGATGTCCTGACCCCATGAAAATAATTGGGAATTTTTCACTGACTTCATCTGAGCCAATAGTTCATTGTTAGGAAGACTTTTGTAGTAAAATTCTCAAGGGATTTAGAGAATATGGAGCTTTGTTTTAAGAAAAACATATAAACACATATATTAATAAAGCAGCTTGGAATATACTCTCAAAAATAGACTAACATGCATTTTGAACTGCATTGAACTATTGTATTGTCATTTAGTTTTGCATCTGCTAAAGCTGACAGCCAAGCAGCAGAAACAGTGATCTCAACACTGCAACTTTGAGCCTTAAAAAAGGCTGTGTGACTGGTCAGTTAGGGCAATATCTCCCTGCATTACTGCTGTACCTGTCCTAGATGGATGTTCCTGGTTCTGTTCTGCCAAATAAACACTTGCTTGTTTCAATACAGCAGCACTGTTGGCGCTTTCCCAGCCATGTTACATCTGAATGCTGCTCAGAATTTCATTCATTCACTTATCTCTTGAATTTTATCAGTAAAAATAATCATATGAGCCCTTTCATTCAATGCCTTAACAGAGCTGCTATCAGGCAATTTATCCTTATACAGACTCTTAAGGAGCTTTACTTTCTTCTTGCCGTTGACCCTGAACTTGAACTTTCATGAAACTGATTTCCTCCTCCTTGCTTTCAGAAGCTGTTTCTCCTCTGTAGCCCCAAGATATGAACATCTATAGACAGGGAAATTTTACAGAAGGGGCCTCTGGAATTGTTTCCTTGCCAGTTCACATCTGGTACTCAGCACCTGATCCATCTCTTTATCCAGGGGCTTGCACCGGAGTGGCTATAAGGACGTCTTTAATTTGACATTATCGTCTAGAGGGTTAGGAAGGAGTTGATGTGGGATTGTTGCAACTATTGATCATATTCCAGCTGATAATTCGTAATCAGGTGGAATGACAGTCACATTTCAACTGTTTAAAACTAAATCACCTCTTAACTACTCCCAATTGTCAATACCATAGAATGTATTTCTTAGTGACCTTTAATTTAATATTATTTCTTGCCCATACATTTTCACTGAGAAGTGTTGACAAGTCTGTGGAACAGAGTCATGCTAATACTGATTTGTCTCACTAATCTGTCTAGGGGCTGAGAATGAGTAAAATTATGGTCTGGCCTTGGTTGCGGAGCCATATCCTAAGTTACAATAGAGATACAAGAACTTCCTCAGAGCAAAACCTTGTGTCTTTTAAATGCAAAGATGTCAGTACTGGCATCAATTAAACTGGAATGCCAAAGAGCATAAATTGCATCTGATATAGATTTACTTCTCCTTCCAGAAAGTGGGAAAATGAGAGGTATTTTCTAATTCTTGGTCACAATTTGCCTCCTGCTGTGTTTCCCACCTCCTTCCATGGAGCTTTTTTGCTTTGGTAGAAGTACTTTGACCACAGTCATGGCAACAGGCATGTGGCAATGCAGTAAAACTGCTTCTGGAAGTATGGATAATTTAGATTAGAGTGGACAGAATCATACACCCCGAGCAGCACTCGGAAAACAAAGTAAATACTGGTAAATGCCTTCTGAAGCAAGCTCTAGCATACAAAACCTCAGAAAATGTGTTAACTTTCCCATGAAATGTTCGGATAAGCTTTTGTGTGTGTGAATGTTGCACAGCTGGCAAACTGGGGCATGTTAGGAGAATAGTTTCTGCCCTGGTCTTCTGACTTAAGACATTGCTGATAATAAAATTTAAAAATTCTCATCTTATTAACACATACGCAGCTTAGCCATAAGAAAAATAATATAGGTCCCTGAGTATCAAATCTTATCCTTTATTTAAAGCTAAAATTAACTTATCTTTTGAATAATCTGAGGTTTATTTTTACTACCTTTTGACATATTCTGAGATTC